TATCAGGTCTCTGTCCTCTAAAGCTGTTTTAGTGAATGAATTAATATCAGATTATGATATTGATTTACTTTGTCTTACTGAGACCTGGTTGTCCCACGAGGAGTATGTTTGCCTAAATGAATCCACCCCCCCAGTCATATTAATACTCACATTCCTCGAGGCACAGGCCGAGGAGGTGGAGTAGCAGCTATATATGATTCGAGCGTTTTAATGGACCCTAAACCTAAACTAAATTATAATTCATTTGAAAGCCTTGTTCTTAGCCTTTCTCACCCAAACTGGAAAACACTGCAGCCAGTTCTATTTGTTATAGTGTACCGTGCTCCTGGACCGTAATCTGATTTTATATCTGAATTTTCAGAGTTTCTATCAAGCTTAGTCCTTAAATCAGATAAAGTAATTATTGTAGGTGATTTTAATATTCATGTGGATGTTGACAATGACAGCCTTAGTAATGCATTTATATCATTAATAGATTCAATTGGCTTCTGTCAGAGTGTAAATAAACCAACTCATTGTTTTAATCACACTCTTGACCTTGTTTTATCATATGGCATTGATATTGAACATTTAATAGTCTTCCCACATAATCCTTTCCTATCTGACCATTATTTAGTAACTTTTGAATTCATACTATTAGATTATAAGCCATTAGGCAAAACTTCCTACAGCAGATGTCTATCTGACAGTGCTGTAGCTAAATTTAAGGAGGAGATTCCTTCAGTGTTTAATTCAATGCCATGTCTGAATTTAACAGACTCCTATAACGACTTTAGTCCCTCTGAAATTGATAATCTTGTCGATAGTGCTACAGGCTCACTACGATCAACATTAGACTCTATCGCTCCTATAAAAAGGAAATTATTAAAACATAGGAGACTAGCACCTTGGTATAACCACCAAACCCGCCAGTTAAAGCAAATAGCTAGGAAATCTGAAAGGAAATGGCGCTCTTCCAAATTATCAGAATATCGCTCAAATTGGCAAGATGATCTTAAGATTTATAGAAAGGCCCTCCGTAACGCCAGAGGAGCCTATTACTCAGCACTAATAGAAGAAAATAAGAACAACCCTAGGTTCCTCTTCAGCACTGTAGCCAGGCTGACAGAGAGTCACAGCTCTATCGAGCCACATATCCCCATAAACCTAAGTAGCAATGACTTCATGAGCTTCTTCTATAATAAAATTATTACTATTAGAGAAAAAATTAATCACCAACTGCCATCAACAGTTATCAGTGGCTCTCCAAGTTCAGGGACTTCTGTCAATGTAAACTTAGATGTATATTTAGACTGTTTTTCTGCTATCGATCTTCATCAGTTAACTTCAATCATTTCTTCATCGAAGCCATCAACCTGTCTGTTAGACCCGATCCCAACTAGGCTGCTTAAAGAAGTTGTTCCCTTAATTGGCACTTCTTTACTGGATATGATTAATCTTTCTTTATTAACAGGATATGTACCACAGTCCTTTAAAGTAGCTGTAATTAAACCCCTTCTTAAAAAGTCTACTCTTGACCCAGGGGATTTAGCCAACTATAGACCGATTTCTAACCTCCCGTTCCTCTCTAAGATTCTGGAGAAAGTAGTCGCCAAAGAGTTGTGTGACTTTCTACATAACAATAGTTTATTTGAGGATTTTCAGTCAGGATTTAGAGTTCATCATAGCACAGAGACAGCTCTGGTTAAAGTTAATAATGACCTTCTGACTGCTTCTGACAATGGACTTGTCTCTGTACTTGTATTATTAGATCTTAGTGCTGCATTTGACACCATTGACCATGATATTCTTTTACAGAGACTTGAGCATCAAATTGGCATTAAAGGAACTGCCCTAACCTGGTTTAAGTCATACTTATCAGATCGTTCTCAGTTTGTACATGTTAACGATGAATCCTCCATAAATACTAAAGTTAGTCATGGAGTTCCACAAGGTTCTGTACTTGGACCAATACTATTTACTTTATATATGCTCCCTTTAGGCAACATTATTAGGAATCACTCCATTAACTTTCACTGTTATGCAGATGATACGCAGTTATATCTATCAATCAAACCCAATGAAATTAATCAATTATCTAAATTACAAACATGTCTTAAGGACATAAAATCCTGGATGACCTGCAATTTTCTGATGTTAAACTCAGAAAAAAACGAAATTCTTGTTCTTGGCCCCAAAAACCTTAGAGACTCATTGTCTAAAGATATAGTCACTCTAGATGGCATTAACTTGGCCTCTAGCACCACTGTCAGGAATCTTGGAGTTATCTTTGATCAGGACTTGTCATTTAACTCCCACATAAAGCAGACCTCTAGGACTGCCTTCTTTCATTTACGTAATATTAGAAAAATTAGACACATACTATCACAGACAGATGCAGAAAAACTAATCCATGCATTTGTTACTTCAAGGCTGGATTACTGCAACTCTTTATTATCAGGTTGCCCCAATAAGTCCATTAAAACGCTCCAATTAATTCAGAACGCTGCAGCACGAGTACTGACAGGAACTAGAAAAAGAGATCACATCTCTCCTGTACTAGCTACTCTGCATTGGCTCCCTATAAAATGTAGAATTGAATTTAAAATACTCCTCCTCACCTATAAAGCTCTTCATGGTCAGGCCCCTTCATATCTTAAAGAGCTCATAGTACCCTATTACCCCACTAGAACACTACGTTCTCTGAATGCTGGGCTACTTGTGGTTCCTATAGTCTCTAAAAAGTAGAACAGGAGCCAGAGCCTTCAGTTACCAAGCTCCTCTCCTGTGGAACCAGCTTCCAGTTGTGGTTCGGGAGGCAGACACCCTCACCACATTCAAGAGTAGGCTTAAGACATTCCTCTTTGATAAAGCTTATAGTTAGGGCTGGATCAGGTGAGTCCTGAACCATCCCTTAGTTATGCTGCTATAGGCCTAGACTATCGGGGGGATTTCCCATGGTGCACTGAGCTACTCTCTTCCTCTCTCTTTCTGCACTCATTCATGTCCCTTTAATGCATGTTACTAACTCCACTTCTTCCCCGGAGTTCTTGTGCTTTCTCGTCTCGCAGGTTCTCATGGATCCTGGTGGAGCCTCCTGCCATGGTCCTGCTTGACTGCCATTGCCAATACTGTTGTTGCTGTGCACCTGTCTGTCTGTCTGTGCTCTCTCTCTCTCTCTCTCTCTCTCTCTCTCTCTCTCACCCCAACTGGTCGAGACAGACGACCACCCACCTAGAGCCGGAGGATCTGTCCTAGGTTTCTGCCTTTTAACAGGCAGTTTTTCCTTGCCCTTGTCGCCAAGTGCTTGCTCATGGTGGTACTGTTGGGTCTCTGTAATTAATGTTAAAGAGTTCGGTCTAGACCTGCTCTATTTGAAAAGTGTCCTGAGATAACTTCTGTTATGAATTGGCGCTATACAAATAAAATTGAATTGAATTGAATTGAATATATTGTACAATATCACATATTATACAGTGCACTGACTGTAGTCTGCTGAGGTAGTGCTACTGTCAATGACCAGAGGTTAATCTGTAAAGCCTCTCCTATACCACATACATGCTGTAGACTGTACAGTGTAACACGTTTGCTCCTGAACAGGATTTTCCCAATACAAACACTTTTATTCCAGGGGAGAAAAGTTTAGTTCAAGGTTTGATAATAGTCCATGCAACTTTGGGCAGCAGTTTGGTCAGACAGTCAAAAGGTTAAATAAACATTTCCAGGAATGGACTCTCCCCAGATTTCTGCCCTCTTGTGGAAGAACTCAATAATTGCGTGCATGTGTCACCACATCTATACGGACAGTAAGGCCAGGTGTACGAGTGCAGTGCAGATTACTAAATAGGCTAATATTTATCACCATTTTGAACAATATATCCAGTACAAGGATACATTTTTATCATCTTACCTTACAATGACTGCATTCTCACACATTTATGAAAACAAATTATTAGGATACATTTGTTAGATCCTTTTTAAAAAACAAAAGTCCATATCAGATGACACTACATCTAACTAACTTTGTTTTCGTTTTACAATATTTGCTGATCTGTTGAGTAACATGCAATATTGCCATGTAAATACAAATATATAAAACCTGTAAAGAGTTTTCCATCCCTAAAAGAGACGGAAAATACCCCCTACCCTACCAATCCACCTCTTTCTCATACACAAATACACACACAACATAATAGCAATAATGTAATTAGCAAGAACAATGGAAGAATTTGCAAGATTATTAACTTGTTATCATAAGTTTTGTCAGGCAAGTGCAAACTTTAATAACAGTCACATTGAGCTTAGTGTCAACAACAACTCCAGAAACCCATTATTTGTCAATTACGCCTCAGTTTACAACCACATGGATACATTCTTCAACTGTCTCAGCGAACATAACTGTGGTATCATTAACTGCAACTTCACTCCCACTACAAGCAGCTTAACCAGACAGCTGATTATTACTGTTGAAATATGTGATTTAATGCTTTTTCTTTTTGTGACTAAGCCAATAAAATTTACACATTTTAAAGTCTGTGTAGATTTTTTATATTGTGCTGAATTCAGTCACTGGGTTTGATTTTGAAGCTTCGCCTCTTTATTCATGACTTATGTGCTGCAGTCTGTATTATTTAATCTGTATGATAACAAATATCAGTGACATGAATATGAGCTGTTATTGTTGCTTACTGTATATGCATAATATATTATTCCTCCCTTTCAGGAGGAAGATTAAAAAACTGTTTTGTGTTTTATTATTGAGTAAAAACCACAAACATGAGAAGTTGTTTTTATCGATACAACAGATTCTAGATAAACCGTATAGCATTTTAGTATTTTCTCCACATGAGACCACCACTCCCCCATATCACAGCCTTTGTGAAGAGACAAAACTTGCCTGAAATTGAATACCCATTATTCTAGGTACGTTCTATTATGTATTGTTTAAAACTGGGGCATTATAATGTTTCTTCCCAGAAACACCCTCTCCAGTGCTGCATTTGCTTTTCTACTCACGATGACAAAGAGGACACCTTGTTTTAGGGCTCTGCAGTTAAAAATGTGGACTGTAGTTGGTTTTGGTCCTTTGCTTTTCTTGCTGCCTCTTGGAACAGTATTTGTTGGTAAGCAATTTACACTTTTAAATAAGAAATAATCAGTTATATTATAATTTTTTTTAAATCGTTTTGTTCTTTTATAGTACTGGGTGCTACACGTTTTTGTGATATTCTAACACTAATATAGTTTTGTAAGAATATTTATTATCTATATATAATTTGCATTGTTTCATAGAGTTTCTAAAAGTGTCACAATGACCGTAAAGTGTTAAAGAGAAAATCCAGCCAAAATACTAAACAGCCATTTGTAATTTATATATATATATATATATTTCTGGGTCAAACAAGACAAGTTGTGTTTTGCTATAGGGAGCATAGTGGCAGTTATCAACAAATGCAGCTTTGACTGATATGTGACAAGTTCACATCCCTCCCCTGTAGGAAAGTTGTAAATAAAGTATAAACAGCGAAGAAAAGTGGGAAAATTAAAAAGTAAGTTTTATGGCTCTAAAATTTCTTGAATGCAATGTGCACGTTTATCTAACAGCTTATGTTTATTGTTATGACTTTGTTCTTTAATTAAAACTGGATACTGTTTGCTTCACTGTCATATTCTTCTTCTTCAGTGCGTTGCTTTTATCTCACCTAAAGTTTAAAATTTCAGAACATGCCATTGCCAGTTTGCAGTTAACAATGAAAATCCACACAATTATAGGATTAGGGATACTGTCTTGCAGTGGTTTTCTGTTGGTTTAAACAAATAAAATGTCTAAGGTTCTTGGGGGGAGTCTGGCCTATGGAACGAAACCGCCTCCAGGTCACTGGAGGATCAACCACTCCTGCATCATTCCTTCACTACAGGTTATCACTGGCCAAGTTAATAAACCTATTCAGCACAAACATCATACATTTTACTTTTTAACTGTATTAAAACCAAAAGATCATGATTAAAGTTCCTGTCTTTAATGTATCCACAGTCTCACCAGTGCCACTGCAGAGTCCACGTGAAACCAATATGACAGAAAACAGTGTCAGAAGAAGAAAAAGAAGCTCTTCCTCCGCTGACACTGAAGGCTCTGCTTTGCCTCCAAAGATTCTGACTGTCTCTCATCTTTCTTCTCTCAGAGATCTGGTTTCAGAAAATAAAATCACAGGTTGTGCAATTTTACCATGCTTCCTCTTGCAACTCAAAACAGCATGATGAAATCAAAAAATGTTATCTGTAAACTGAAGATGACCTGAACCAAGTTGGCCTACTGTTTGCCAATAGGTTTTGCTGTGTGTTACCCTGTTGTACTATCGGATGGGTAAAGAGCCAGATCATCAGCACTATTCCACTGACTGAAAAAGTCTACATTGGTATTTTTCTACATCCTGAGCAGACATTTGTTATCTTTAAAGAGTAACAACATGTTGAACCAAAATCAGTGTTAAATACTGCTGTATACCTTTGGTGGTAGGGACAAACCACCAGATGGTAGCAAAAGAAAGGATTTTGACTTGTGTGCTTCTTTGGAAATCTGATTATTTAGCCAAAGCTCCACATTTCAACAGACCCATCTTCATTCTGTGTTTGCATTGCCTCAACACAGGAGGAGAGTTATAAAGTTGAGTAACATCTTTTTTGAACCCGTGAGGTAGACAGAAATAATGTTGAACGGGTACAAAAACTTTAAACTTTAAAAATAGCAACTGTGGCCATGAGGGAGAGAGAAGACAGACTGTGAGTGTGTTGTTAGCTGTTGGGAAGTTTACCACAGCCGCCCACGTCCCCTGAGTCAGTCCATCATGGGACATTAAAACCAGAGAAATCCTCTTGTATGTTTCTTTTGTTGTATTTTAATGATTTATTCTTTCAGGAAAGGACATTGTGTGCTGTGTGTACGACATGTGGTCTGATTTGACTTCATAAGCAGGAACCTCTGGGATATACAGTCCAGCCAAGTTCAAGGATTCATTTATTTAATAAAAACATTATTGAAGATAAGGTGAAAAATAAAAACATGTGAGAAGAAACAGACACAAAATTACTGGTTAATATTTGATATTTAATTAAAATTAGTCCAGTATGAACCGGACTGCGACAATTATTCACCTCAGGTCTGAAAATAAGCTGTCAAAACAGTTGTTTGTGTCATTTGGATGGATTATGCAAACTTCTAGAAATCATTTCAGTTGATGCCACCAAAGCTTGCTTTTATATTATCACTGTAATGCAACTGACATGAGAATTTCACTTCTTCTTCTTCTTCACTTCTTGCAGTTCGCTTAGCTGTCCGTGTCTCTCTCACTGGTCCGAGTAAGCTTCTTGACCCCCAGCTCCTCCTTTTCCTGAACAAAAAGGTCAGTAGGTCATACCAACACACACACAGGTGTTACCTCACATTGTTAACAATGTGAAAAGATCAATAAGGATCAGATCACCATTAACTTTAGTCTCATGATTTCAGTGAGAGGTGTTTCTTGTGGTGTCATAGCAGGGATTGAACATTGATATGATCAAATTTAAAATTAAAATCATAATTGGTGAAAAAGTTACCTCAGTCAGTCAGTAGGGCATGATGACGCAAATGGATTCTGCTTGCGGAAAAGATAAACAACAAATACACCGCCCAGCTAATCAATGTCCAGCCAGTCTAAAGGTCAAAGGCCGAAACCTCTGTATTGGTTTTGGTCAGAGTTCAAGGTTTATCATTTATTCATCAGCAAACAATGAGTCAATCTCACTCAGACTCAGTAGCGGAAGATATTTAATTTATATTTTACTTCATGAACTCAAGCACCTTTTTAATAAAAGAACAGGCATGAGTGGATTAAAGGATTACAGTCTCAAGAACTCAATGACTGCTGATGTAGTGGTGGGTGAGGGTTAAGGGTTGAAAGGCATTTTTGATCCTACAAAGAAGTCAAGCGTCGCCAAAGCTATCTTAACAATTATGTAAAAGCAGGTTTGACAAGTGAGGCTCTTGTGTTGCAGCTGTTGCTTATGGCTGTCCTCTCTCTCTCTCTCTCTTTCTTTTCTTTGAGAAGCCAGGAATCTACAACATTGGAGAGAAGGCAAGACTCTTTTCAATGAGAGTAGTGGGAATTAAGAGAGTGACCTCTGCACCCTGATTTCATCATCCAAGGCCCAGCCCAGCCCAGGATCTCTCAGATTATTTATGAGAAATATGTTATATCTTTGTTGAAGCCCGTGTTGCTGTTTTTATATGACCTTGTTTCATTATCATTGTTTTGTGTCTGGTTCCATTAAAGATTAACTTATTTTATCTAGTAACAAGTCTGTGATGTATGCAGTCGCTGATGCTTGGCCCCGCCCACTACACTGGCCAGCCAATAGAAAAGCGCGCTGAGTCTTTATTTCCCACCCTCCCTTGCTGGTTTGCCTGATCGTGAGGAAGTTTTTCTGCACTTCACCGGTCAGGAAGGTGGCGGTAGTGAATGGCTTGACGGCTCATTGTAAATAAAAACGGATGGCTGACTCGGCGTCCCTGGAGGACACGCTGCCCGATGAGGAGAGGGAGTTTCGGAAGATCATAGGTTTGATCGGAGGTAAAGAGAGGATTCATTTGGTGAGTGATCAATGTCAAAGTAAACAGGTGGACGGAGATGACGCTGAGATATTGCAAGAGTTCCTCCGTGAAATGTTCCCTGGCAGCCTGGCGAACAGCAACGGGCAGCCCCTCTCCTCTCCGTCAAACGGCGATAATGCAAGTGAAAAACACGTATGTTTCAAGCCAGAGACTGATAAAATCAACGAGATACATCTTACAGAGAGGCCCAAAGATTTGGACTTGAGAGCCTGTCCTGTGAGAGAGGACGGGGAGAAGGAGGAGCGGTCAACGCGCAATGGCAACGCTCAGAAAACAGCAACGCGGAGGGCAAACATTTACAGCCGAGAGCGAACCATTGATTCTGCTGTCATCATATTCATCTTCAGGCAGACATTTCTCAGCAAAAATACAAACGAACTGTGCTTAAAGGAGATCTTGAAGGACGTAAAGGCGCGTACGAAACGTGCCAGAATCGCCCGACCAGCTTTGATTGGATTAATACGCACCAGACAGGAGAGCGCCGAGACGCATCAGTGTGCGCAACTCCTGGAGCGTCTGATCCGCTCAGTGTTCCACAAACATTCACCAGAGACCGTGTGGGTCGGCTGTTTCATCCCGGAGACACAAACCCAAATAATCAGCATCAAGAAAAACGCCTGCAAAGTTATAAACTCATCTCAAACAGCAGGTGTAATAATGTCCACCATTCATTATCTTTAAGTAGATATACACTTCTTACATTATTTGATATTGCAGTTGTTGTTTTTTTCTGTTTGCCTAAAGCCACATGGTTTTTATTTTTTGCTCAGATCAGCAAGGCAGATGCTTGTCAACATGAAGTTTGAACTCTGGTGTGTTTAAACAGGGCACCATGTAGATTTGATAATACATTAAATAAAATATTAGATTTTGACAGAAATCTAATATTAAATCTAATATTAAAAGGGCTAGGCCTATTGTACAGATATTACACAAACAACTCATTGACATAATTATTACGGAGAGGAGTGATGCCATAGGAAAATAAATATGTGAATGAGAATCATAGAATCCATAGGAGTAACTACAGTTCCTAATATAGTAGCTATTTTAATGATATTATGGTAGATTTCGTACCCCTCTACGAGTCCATTGTTATCTCACTAATGAGCACTGTCACAGTGTAAGTTCCTGCAGGAATATTTGGCAAACACTGTAGTGATTTGTGTTTGTGCACTCCACTATATAGGTCAATCTATGACATTCCCAAGACCACACATTTCTGCACACATTTTTCTTCCCAGGCATGGCTGCAAAAGCCCTAGAACAAAAGGAGCATTCATGAAACAATCAGGCCCTTAGATAAGCTGCCAAATTGTTAAACGCTTCTTATTGCCTTTCAGATAATACCAGGGATACAGGGAACTCGCTTTTCTGGCCATTCCAATGTTTGTTCTGGCCTCAGAGAAGAAGAGCCGGAGGCCAGGCCAATGACTCTTCAACCAGCAGGAAAAGAGGTACCAACATCGGGTTCGAGTTCACCTCGACTGAGCTGCATTTCCATTCCCACAGGATATTTTCTTTAAACTCATCTTTTCTTTTCTTTTTTGTCCATTCTGTACACCAACATAGTCCTGTTCCATGGTCCTCAAGGGACTAATCCAGAATGCACTACATGAGCAAAAGCCATGGAGGCAGGTTGTCAGTCTATTACAGGGCCAACAGACATAGACGTTCACACGTTGACTCTTAATTAGACTCTCCTCGGATCAAATCTCACGCAGTCACACACAGGGGGAAACAATCTGTAATAGAAGAAGCAAGAACCAGTTTAGCCTCAATGTACTGGAATGCAATGTGTAAAAACAGTGTTGTTTGCTCCTGCTATCACTGTCTGTTCATCTTCATGTGGTGTACAACTGAAACAAATCCAAGAAATTAACTTGGGAAATTCAAGAATTAACTGACTGAAGTTGAGGCAGGTTGAGAGAAAATGAATGCAATGAAAAGTAAATTGAAACACACACACACAACATAATGACTCCTAGAATGCATCGGTCATCAGATCGATCATACAGACAACAGATTTATAGTATGATGATGTAAAATTAAGTCATGACACCTTTGATACTTTACACATATATAGGGAGCAGACAAATACTTAAATCCCACTGCTGCCATATTATATAATCATATTGATTGTATTTAACTCAAGTGAGTACCAGTGTATTCATTGTTTTTGTTTTGTTTTTCTTCAGGTGATACTGGAAATATAGAGGAAAGCATCCCTCTGCAAACCAATTCCTTGTCTGCTGTACCTCGTGTGGATGGAGAATCAGCTGGAGGAGACAGCTGATGACAGGACACATGACCTGGGGCTGGAGGCATATCACTGTAGACAGTCCTATTTTTACTGTGAAATTGGCCTCATGGTGCTACAGAGCCTTTCTACATGTTTACAGTGTTCCTTTGTGGTGCTCAGTATTCCCACTGCTGAGCCAACATGATTCTTGTCCTGAAGCAGTATGTTGCTAAATAGTCGCTGTTGCCATCTTGCTTTTTTTACACATTGTCTTTGATGTACAATGGTTAGTCACAAAGAGATACTGTGACCAGTTAGTCATATGTTGTGCTATTCTCTTTGGTTTTTTTTTTCCACCTAGATAGAGATTTACCTGCATATTTCACTAGGCTTACAGCAGAAGTACTCCTTTTTTAAAATGATGCTGAACACTGGATTACCTACTGGCCCCAGAACGGTGGCTTCAAGAACCCAAGGCTTCTTGTGTGTCATCTGGTTTGTGCTAATTGTATTGACAATTAATTGAGAATAAACACTGCCAAATCACAACATCAACTGACATAATAAGGTCTTGCTTCTTTAATAGGGGCCCAGCAGCTTCTTTTTTTTTTTGCCCCTGAGCCCCCCAGCAGGTTAATCCAGCCATGGTCAATCTTTTCTTTTTTTCACTTTCATTTATTAGAATTGTGTGCCTTAGATGAGTGCTATTGATAAAAGCATTATCTGTTAAAATAAAAAAAAAGGATGACAATACTTTTCACTTTTTGTGTTATGTATGTAGGCTTCTGGTCTAGACAGATAGACAGACAGACAGACAGACAGATATACTTTATTAATCCTCGAAGGGAAATTGGGTCGTCATAGCAGCCAGGTACATTTAAATACAATAAAATACAACAATAGAATAAAATACTTGGGTAGAAAAGATTAAAAAAAAGATAAACAGGTAGATAAGGTGTAAAGAAGGTGTAGTTGCACGATGGTAGTAATAGTACTGAATATTAGTCTGTACATTTATAATATAGCCTAAATATATAAATAAACACATTAAAGCTTGTGTGCATTGAAAAGAACATTAACTTTCAACAGACTACAAATAGGACAGTGGGGGATCTGGTTAGTGACTGAGTATAAATAAATGAATTAACCCTGTACTGTCATTTATTTACTGAGCCCTGCATGACAGCCACGTTAATGTCCAAGGACCCCATTTGTTAGGCAACCAACCACCAACAGCGACAGAAAGGCAAAAGAACTGATTCACGATAGACCACCATCAGAAAAGCCCGTCCATAAAATCGGATACGTTCAATTAATCTATCCCCATAATATATATTTTTTTTACATTAGATGAAAACTAAATGAAAACAAATGTTTTAAGGTACTACGAATTGACGCGACCCTGCGAAGATACAATGGCTACTATTATATTTATGTGTATTTTCAATCAGGCTTAAAAGAGGCCTGCCTGCTCGGAGGTCCTTGTACAACGGACTTGCGGTACCGGACAAAAAGGAGTTAGCAGCGGCTGCGTTTGGTTCCACTGCTGTGCATTTTCAGACACTACAAACCTTTTATTTTCCTTATCTTCCCGAAACAATCGCACGGATTCCCGCCGTCGAACCAGGATCGTGGGGCTGAGGAGGGAATAAAGAGCCAATCATGATAACATCCGCCGGTAGGTCGTAGGAGAGGGTTTTAGCTGCCTGCCATTGATTTAGCTGAGTCACACAGCTAATGTTGTCAGTTAGCCTGTAGCCGGTTATAACCAATAAATCCACGGAAATACTATTCAGGATGGAGTAGCCCTTTGAAATGTGTCTTTAGTGTAACAATGTGACGAATTTATTCCCTGCACGGCGGTTAAAATATATTATTTCGTTAGTAGTTAATGTAAGGTTAATGCTAACAGTCAGTACACTGTACAGGCTGTTTAAGTAGGTGTTCAAGTTCATGTTTATACAAACACAGGAATGGTTTTTCATCTTGGAAATAAATATAACATGTTAGCGTTCATATAATACTCCCTACTGTCAGGGTAGTTTCTTTTCCTTGAAGCGAAACAGGCTTTTACTTGACCACTGACCCTGTTAATCCTGCTAACGTTACGTTACAATATGTTTGACATCTGCCTTTCTTTGTTAGTTATAATGTGAAGGTGTATCATTAAATATAGTTAATTTGTGTTTTTATAATTGGGTAAACTTTTGATCAAATGCATTGTGCTTGTAATGTCTCTTAATGAAGAAATAATTATGGACAAATGTTGTATTTTGAAGTAAGAGCAGTACTAATCCCTCATATGTTCTACCTACCATACTGTAGACTGCATTGGAATATAATTGATTGAAAATGAAAGCATATGAACTTTATGAATCAAGCAACTCATCATGTTTGTTTTTCTTCTCTTTTTTTTTTATTTTTAGCTGGAATTATTTCACTCCTTGATGAGGAGGAGCCACAGCTCAAGGTAAGAACTGGTTGCAGAGTGATTAGACGGGTGCCGGAAATGGGAAACTTTAATTTAACTTCTAATAATTTTAATGTCATGTCAAATGCTAGTCAGAAGTATAGAGAGTACATGTAAGTGTGTTTTTACCTTCTTGTAAAAGCACACAAGTTTTAGGACACTGGCTCCTCTTGAAATCTTTCATAAGGCGCCAGTGGGAAAGCCTTCTGGAGTGCATCCAATACACAAACTTTAATTTCTGGAAGTGCTACAACTGCCCCCAAACACATTGATTAGTGTAGTGTATGTCAGATTGAAAGAAAAAGTTGAATGTTGATGCTCACTGGGCCCTAATAATAATAATAATAAATGCTTTATTTTTGGATAGGGACAGTGCAACATTAATGAACATCGATATTTAAACATCTCTGTAAACATGCTGGATTATAGCAAACCTGCTAGTTTGCATCCATAGTCCCTAATAAAAAAAATAGATAAAATACAAATAGAAGAGACAGCACAATACATTACACAATCAGAAAGACACCAGACCCACACAAGATATAACAATGCAATAAAAAGTAATGTTCAGTTCAAGGTGCAAATAGGGCTTCACACTTAATAAGTAAATATTATCGAAATTACAATATGTCCAAGTGCAATATCCAAATTTCAGAAGCTGCAGTTTTTTAATTAAGGTAAAATGTTCCACAAAACAGAATTATAATGAAGTACTGTCGAGATGCCCTGACCTACAAATCAGATGTAAGAAAACACTTATTTTGTACAGACCTCAACAAATGTCTTTTTATCATTATTGTTTTTTTTAGTGAAAATGAAAATTGTGCTGCAGAAAAAAATCATTCTGACTAACTGCGAATCATATCGCAGTTGCAATATTTTAAAATATTTGCGATATGATTTGTTTTCACTATATTGTTCAGCCCTTGGCCCAAACTGTTGAAGTAATGCGTAAACTAAACTGGATCTCATGTTATGACACAGTTGCAGTGTGACAAAGGGTAAAAAAATAACATGTAAATGATGTATTTGTAACATCTCTGTTTCACTTGCAGGAGTTTGCTCTTCACAAGTTGAACTTCATTGTGAATGACTTCTGGGCTGAGATTTCTGGATCAGTAGATAAAATGTAAGTACTATTGATGAGCAATAACTTAAGCCCCTTGTGTTCTTTCTTTGCCCACAGTAGGGAGAAATGTTCTCAAAGTGTACTAGGAGTGTGACAAATTTACCTGCCTTACAAGTGGTGACACATACAGTATTGACACACTAGATGCAGATGAAATGTGCCTCATGATGACCAGTAGAGTACTGAATGTTCTTCCAACGTGTATGATTGACTAGAAGGTTTCAGATCTCTGCAGCCTTCCTAATTTCCGTTTGCCTCTTTGTGGCAGAAACTGCTCTATGATACAGAGAAAAGTTCATTTACATTCAGTAGAGATGGAAATGATCTCTTTGCTAGTCCGATCTTTTTCATTGTTACCTAACTATATGTTGTCCACTTCCAGCGAAGTCCTTTATGAGGATGAGACGTTTCGGAGCAGAGCCTTTGCTGCTCTGGTGGCCTCCAAGGTTTTCTACCACCTCGGAGCCTTCGAGGAATCTCTGAACTATGCTCTCGGTGCTGGAGAGCTCTTCAATGTCACAGATGACTCAGAATATGTGGAGACCATCATTGGTGAGTGAAACAAAAACAAGTTGTCATTTCCTGGACTTACCTGCTTATTTAGTGATCATGTGACATTTGTTTGGATACTGCTATGAACCTTGTCAGTGACGTAAACAAGTTAAATGGAAAAAAAACTAAATTCTTACCTCCAGTTTACAAACCTACCAAGGTTTTCTGGTGGAGAAAGCCAGTGAATAACATGGAATACTGACTTGAATTACGTTGTTGAATTTAGTAATCAAATGGACTTTTTTGTGTCTTCTCTTAGCCAAATGCATTGACCATTACACCAAGCTACGTGTAGAGAATGCTGAGCTGCCCGAGGATGAAGAGAAGAAAAGCATTGACCCACGCCTTGAGGGCATTGTCAACAAGATGTTCCTGCGTTGCCTAGACGATCACAAGTACAAGCAGGCCATTGGCATTGCCCTGGAGACGAGGCGACTTGACATGTTCGAGAAGACCATCTTAGAATCGGTGAGCCACTATTGTCATTTACTTGAGATTAGTTTTTAAATATCTCCTACTAGCTTTAATGCTCACCAGAATAGCCCTAAGTCTTGTGCAAGAGTCTAGCATACTTGGTATAATAATACCAAAACTTTGACAGAGCTTAGGAGAATCACTTGATTCACATACAATAAATGTCTTGGTGACACTGACTAATTTCACAGTACATAAGTTATAATTCTTACACAAGAGTAAAAATGTTTTACTTCCTTGATAAGGTTGATAATTGCTACCCCCGTCCCGCTCCGATGACAACTTATGTATCTGCGCCGATCAAAGCATTCGTAACTAATTGGCTATGTGGAGCTTTATTGATCCGATCTGATCTTTTGTTTTACGTCAGCTGTCACACAGCTTTGTGGTGCAGCCATTGTTGACTTTCTTGCCGTTTCTTTCCTCCACTCTGCTCTGTGAGAGTAACACCGCGGGTAGGGCTGCTTGTGCTCGGAGGAGAGAGCAGTAGAAATTCGACAAAACCACACTCAACACACCACTGCAAGTGCAACAAAAGTCCCACAAACAAAAAGCTATGTAATCCACGCAAAATATGTAGATACGACGAAAATAACACTCACAGAATACAGACTGTTCATTCTAGTAATTCTGGCTGCATCGAAGCACCAAACAATGGACAGACAGAAACAAGACCAAATAGATTACGGAGGGGTTTGTTATTTTATACTTTATTGTAATAAAGAAGAGCTTTGATCCAGGCATTTTGTTTCTTAATGCAATGTAAAGCTATTTCATTGTCAAGTATTTACATTGTATTGAGTAACTTTAATGAACTTCAAGTGTGCGTTGTGCACTGTATGGTCTAAATCCTTTTTTTTAAATTTTTTTACAAAGGATCGAATTGGGACTCCCTATTAGCAGATATTCAATACTTAATGACTTGAATCG